TATATAATATTTTAATTTTATTTATATTCGCTTCGCAATTATAAATTATTGAGTTTTTATACTACGAGGATTGATTTGCTCTTTTTAATTCCTTTATTTAATACATGACCTGTTTCACCTATGTAAGAACTAAATAAATAGATAAAAAATACTATTAACTAAAATACTGCCAATAACTTGCGATCTTATTAATAAATCTCCTATTTTACAACAAGAAAGATAAATTTTACATATTTCAATTAGCATTTCTATATTTAATCCTTGTCGGATTGATGTTAATAAAATCTCCAAATAATCAAATAATATATATTGTTTTACGCATCGAAATTATTTTAATATTTAATGTCACAAATACTTACCATATAATTATTTTTATAATAGCTTACATGGAAAATCAGTGTTTGTATTGCATCCTACATCCAATCTTGAATTTGTCTATTGCTGTTGGTGATGTATTCATCTCGCCTTGTACACATTACAAACGCAAAGCGAAGCATATTATATTTGTAAAAATATACAGAAATATTTTGCGAATCATCTTTCTCAGTCATGCAATCATACCTATTATTAATTTGTATGCAAGTCTGGATGGCGCCATCTCATGCGATACTCTCAAAAGTATAAAAGGAAAAAACTACAACCTGTTCCTTAGAGGAATCATGATTTTCGTCGCTACAATATGTATTATTTTCCTCGACATGAATGGAAATAAAAAGATAACCATCGACCTGAAGATATCGACATATAATGGCGAAGAAAAAAAATTGAAAAAGTATCAATCTTATACAATTGCCGTATTTGCAGTTATATATCTATTTCTTTCAGTATTAATTTTAATATCTACTTCTATCTTTATCTGTTTAAGAATAGAAATGGAATCCAATTACAGTAATGCATTGTTTTGCGTTGTGCTGTATAACACAATCTTACAATTCGAAACAGCTCTTTGTGTTTGGATTATATCAACATTAACCATTATCAGTTTGGCAATAATTAATAGATTCAATGCAGTTTCTAATGAATTGCAATTGGCAAAAAGCAATTATCAGAAGAGTTATGTAGATCGAATGATAGCCAAGCATCAGGAATTATGGTATTTATTGGATCAAGTCAACAGAAAATGGAATGGAAACATATTTATAATTTACGGAATAATTGTTTATCTGGAAGCGCTTTTCATATATGCTGTAGTATTTTCGGAACTAACTGGCTACTATTATATCATAATATGTGTTGCAGCCGTAATTTGCACAGCTTTAGTATTGATTATGTCTTTTGCCACTTCTCACGGAATATCATCGGTGAGTATTCCATTACAAAAGTATACAATTTATTACTTTATTACCTCACAACGTTTTCTTCCATAATTTTAGGTGTACGATTCCTTTCAGGAAGTGAGACGATTGTCTGCAGCATCACGTCAATTATCGGATAAAATTAAGGTTAGTTTTCATACACTTGTATATTTTCAATTAAAATTTTAACGAATTTGTAATCAGATTCTAGGCTTTATGAAAAAATTCCGTGAAAATAAAATCGGACTCAGTTGCGGTGATTGCTTCGTTATGTCAAAGGAATGCCCTATACAGGTACTAATATCATAGAAATTAAGAGTGAATAGTTTTGTCTTATTTAAGAATAGTTTATTAATTAATTATGTTTTAAATAATTTATTTAATTTGTATTTTAATACAATTATATTTTTATTAAAAACATAGATAAATAATATTTTTACAATTAGTGTTTTTACTTATACTTTTCGAATTTTTCAGATGTGGAACACATTTTACACAGCTTATAATATGTTACTTAAAATACGCCAGATTACAGAAGGTACTTCACAAAAATGCCAGTCTACTGGAATGTTGTTTAACAGCACTACACAAATCTTCTTCGAGAAATGAAACACTGTATACATTTTACATCACATTGAAATTTCACAAACCATGTATTATTGATTTTTGAAAGTAACCATAAGCCGTATGTATAATAATATAGTCCAAAGTTATTTTACCAATGACCCAGTTCATTCTGCATTATTTGTATGAGAAAATTCGTCACAACACTCTTCTGCTGTTGTCATTCGGTAAAGATTTTATTTTGATAAGAATTGAGTTGTGAAATATCTACTAAATACTTATTACTATAATCAGAAGGTAGTGCTTCACTTTATTATTTCAAAGACTATTATAACCTGTAAATTGCCGGAGATTAAGGCGTTTTCTTTTTACATCGATAAAACCGAGTGTATGAACGAAAAAGATCTGCTAACGACTTTACTGTCGGTAGAAACTGAAAACGAACTCGATCCTTATGCAAAGATGTTCTTTGACCAAAAAAAATTACTTTTGAAAATTGTACTTAGTAGAATAGACTACATATTGCACTATAACGTTGTTTTATGCAAGTCCAAAACACCGGCCTAGAATTAGGTCTTCAAAAACCTGTTCACGAGTTTTCATCGACTTAATGTTAGATCAATGTTTGTCATTTTCGATTTTTTAAATGAACATATTGCATAAGATAGAAATTTTTTTTAACTCTTTCCTCCGCCCTGTGGGCACTAAGAGGGCATCTTATAGCAGACCCATTATGGGTTCGGTCAGTCCCACAATGGGGCGACCAGGAGGTGAGGGATGGGACCCGACATATCCGAACGGACCAACCCCCGTAAAACTCCTGGGATTTTCTTGACCCGTCCAAATTCGATTCCGTGTCCCCCAGAGCGGTAGGCTGCCACCTTGACCGCTCAGCCATCTGGTTTAAAGTAAGCATTTCTTTTTCTGTTTGTTTTTTTTATTTTATTTCATTTTTTCAATATATTTTGTAATTTTATAAATTTATTTAGTTTATTACATAATTATTTCCATTATACTTTTCGTATATTTTGGAATTTTTATTTAATCGTAAATGCAATGAATTAAAATCACTTCTGTTATTTTATATTAAACAATTGAAAAATTTGTTGTACGTCAAACTACTGTTTATCATATGTTAAAGAAAAGCAGAATTTTAGCAATTGTAGATGAAAATTAAACAAAATCATTTAGCTTCTAAAATAAAAATACCGAAAATGTTTTTTTTGACCTTATAAATAAATAGCTTATTATTCTGTTACGAGTGGTTTATTAAATGATAGAAATGTTTTTAAAAAATATGTAAATGAATAACTGTTGTTTTTTCACTTTAATGTAAATGTAGCATCATAAAATTAAAATTATATTATTGGTACAATGTGTAATAAAATTATTAAAATGAAATAAATATAACAATGTGTTAAAGTACGTCTTTTAATAAAAGGACAATACTTTTAAGTTATAATTACACTAAGAGAAAAACATTTAATATATATAAAATACGTACATTTTAAATACGTTTCTACATATGTGTTAAAATGACATTGTGTATGATTGCTTTCCCTTTGCGAATAGGTGGACAATAACTGAATTGTTTTGGAATATTAAAATCGAATAATAAATAAATAATGTCACTTATTATAAAAAATAAATACATATTCTTTCAAATTTATAACTACAATGAATACAGAAATGCTAAAGTTATAGAAACAAATTAAAAGCTCGCCTCTGTACATCATACTCTTCCTTTTACAATAGATTCGTGCCAGTTGTCTATTTAACACTTTTCTGGAGAAAATATATAAATTCAAATTACATGACTTTTGTTGTAAATCGTTTATATAAAGTCTTGGCCTACTGCCTATAAAGTTTCCATATTTGGTTTCTGTTGCATGTATCTAACTTAGTTCTGATGATTATAAAAGAACAGTCTGATAGATAGACGTCAGATAGGAATTTAGAAGTAGCCTATGTTATGGCTAACAGGAATCTTAGCCAGGCACAAGTTCAAAGTGGTGAGTTCACACCCCAAGGTTCAAATCTATTCTGGGGTATACGTTCGTTCTTCTTGCTTCTCGCACTCGTCGACGTCCTAACAACAAGTGACCAAACCACAAAGCGTCTGACCCTTCGGTTCCTCTCGTACCGCGCAGAGTTACTCTCGCAACGACTTCCTTTTCCGTGGCTATAGGGCTTCTGCCTTAGGGGTGTTTAGTCATAATTCCACGAACAATAGCTTCGCGCCACTGGCCACTCGACCAAGCACATGTACAGTACCAAGTGTCCGTTACAGCCTATAAACTTTTTTACAGATTCCAACACAATAGCAAAACTGTTCATTTCCATATAATTATTAACAATTACTATAGTAAGTGAAATACTGAATATAAATGAGGTTTGCTTGTAAAATCCGCGCGTGTGAAGTCACGTGTAACAGCTAGTCAACAATAAAATTACAAATTTTACTATACAAAACAGAAACAAATATTAAATAGTAAACATTACATTGGGCTTTAACACTAAAGAAATGTTTCCACCTGAAATTTTCGAATATTGATAAATTTCTCATTCATCTGAAATAAATACGTTAAAATTATTTTAGTTGACGTTAGTNAAACGATGAATAAAATACAGCGGTATCTCGGTACTCAAACTATTCCCAACTCCGACAATTCAGTATGTGAACTCAAATTCTGGAAAAAGTCGCTCAGTACTTGACTGAACAAATGTGACCTGCTAGAACACAATTCTGATTAATAACATATTTGTATTTTGTCACCCATAAAAAATTTTTTATGATAAAAATACAAAAATGACGATGTTGCTGATATTTGTCATGAAGATCAATAAAAAAAAAAAAGCTCAAAATATGATAATACTGTACTTTGTAAAAAGAAAATGCTCTCATTTAACTAAAATTAATATTAATGCGTAATACAGTACATTTAATTGTGATTATTAGTTACTTATCAATTGAAAATAAATTATTGATTGTTTTAATAAACATATTTTTTTAGTAAGAGAAAAGAATAAGTATACTTTTATTAACTTTTGGAACCTAACCTCATGTTTTGCATTAGTCCTTTGTTTCGTATAACACGGATTTACATAACATGGCATTTTTTTCGAAACATAACTACTGTATTATATGAGGGATATCTGTATGTATATAACTTTTAAGTCATTTTTCATCTTATCATAACAATCAATAACAGAATTTATTACTATAATTTATTCATTTGATTATTGTTAATTAAACAAAAAAGAGTTCTTTGCTTTTAAATAAAAATTAGTAATTAATATAATTAATTTTAAGTTACAAAACTTACAAGAAACAGGGCAATTTCCTTCAGTTATTATCAAATCATCTACAGCAATATCTCCAATATTAATAGATTTCTTTTTTGCTCTGAGAACTACAGAAGCATTTATATTTATGTCTATATGATATGATGCAAACTGCCAATCGCCAATTTGATTATTTTTTAATTGCATTAATGGTCCAATGTATTTTTTATCTAAATAAATAAAAATTAAATAACAAATTAAAATATAATTAAAAATAAAAATTCTTATTCAATTCTTAGTATTCAAGATTTAATAGTTATAATTCTTTTAATTCAATATAGTTTAACTATTATTAAATCTACAATAAATATTGATAAGATTAGAGATGTTCTTTTATAAATTTATCATTTTTAATTGAATTCATAAATGTAAAAATATTGTGTGGAAAATAAAGTGAAATGAATTAGCATTATTGTATGTATGTTCCTGTTCCTGTAAAGTTTAAAAATGTTATTGATTATGGAGTTATAAATAAATAAATAAAACAAAGATAAAATTTATGCTTTCCCTGTAAGCAACATTACAGATTTATGATCTAGAATTACAGAAGCCATAGCAACTGTTAATGGTTCCATATATGCAAAGACTGTGAAAACTTGACTATCACCTAGATGTGTTAAGTATCATCGGAGATGCACATATAGCAACTGAATGAATACAGAGAATTTTTTTTGTTTTTTTCCTTTATATGTAGCAATAAATTTTATATCTTAAACTGTACAATTTTTCTGCTATGTTGAAGTTGTAGTTTATCTTTTAAGATACCTGTGTTATTATGTTTTGTTAATATATATTTAATATATATATTAACAAGACATATATATGTTTAATTTTTCATAAATTAGAAGATTATAAAACAGATTAAAAAAACAAAATCCAGTAACGAGTTGCTAAATTTTCCTGGCAACATTTAAAACTGAGTGTGTAATGCCATCTGTTATGATATTTTATTAAAAACTTTTTAAATTTTGATTATTATAAAATGGCAAAAAGCTTAATTTTGAGGATAAAAAACTATAAATGCCAATAACAAGTAAAATCGTCATTAAGTCCAATCCTACTGGAAATACACGTGACCCTCTTTGTCCCCCATCCTCTCAACCTTTAATCACCAAAATTTAATAGCATCAATGCCCCTCATATACAAGCCAACATGCCAAATTTTGTTACTTAATCTTTACCCCATCCTGAGATATTAAGTGAAATAGACACCAACACATCTACACAAACACACACACATATGGAATTTTTTGGATTTAGGTGGTCTCAAAATGTGGAAATTGGCAATAAAACTCAAAGGTTCAAATCTGACATGATTTCAATACTTTCCCTTGTTATGTATACATAACAGCCAGGAAAGTAACAGAAAAAATATCTTTGAAATTCATAGTTTGCCTTTTATGTTAGAAGTTACATAGTTATAACTAATTCCAACAAAGTTTAGAATAAAATTTAAACAAATCTGTGGTTAAGTAAACTTATAGATTTGCCAAACTAAACAGTTTTTAATTTAAAAAACTTAAATAATTTAGCGCATAAATAAAATTTACTATTTGTGTGTGATCTAAATTACTTATTAATAAATTTATTGCGCAAAAGAATAATAAAATGATTTGAAAATATATTATATTTAAGATATTTCGGAAATGTATTTTATACAATATTTGACAAACGACTTCCAACAACTTAACACTGTGTTGAATAATAATCCACGAAAACCTTTTTTTTACAAGTGTTATGTCCGTAGTACACTCCACAAACGCTTTTGACCTCCACCGAGGTCTACTTCAGGTGGTGAATGACTGTGCTTCCTCCTGACCATCGTAACGATGTCGCCAGAGATGTAAATAATTGTGCGTGTCGGGTTTCACCCCTCCGACTCAGTCAGTCACCACCTGAAGCAGATCTCGGTGGAGGTCGAAAGCGTTTGTGGAGTGTACTACGAACATAACACTTGTAAAAAAAAGGTTTTCGTGGATTGTTATTATACAATATTTAACTGTAGTAGATTATTATTTTGTTATTATTTTTGGGAGGTTTTTATATGCCTATTAAGATATTCTAAGTATTAAATTATATTATGTATAGCATGTTGTTTTTATTAATGGATAAATAAATTTAATTTTTATTCACATTGAAATAGAATTTCTCCTCTAATGAAACAATTTTTAAATTTCTGGATTATTAGCCAGTAGAGAGCCAAAATTTTTGTACATTCAGAGTGTTTGGACATTTGAGATTCAGATTAAATGTATTGAGGACTGATTTTTCAATTGCTCTGCCACAAAATATTCAGTTTAAATTACTTTTGTTAATTGGTTATAGTTAAAAGTTATTCTTTTAATTTGTTGTAGTTAAGTTGTTATAGTTAATCAATGTTTTAATTAGTTTTTGTGTTATTATGAAATAATTTTGTTTATTTGTATAAAGTGTCTTTTAAAAAATAAATGTTTATCAATTTGAGTTGTTACTCTATTTATGTACTGAACAACATACTTATAAGTTAAATCAAATATTGGATTTTCATATAAAATGTCATTGATAATCCTGAAAATTTAAATTGCAAATTCTTAACTTTAATGTATTTATTGAACATTTAAAAAAAATTTTTGTACATAAATAAAAATAACGATTTTATTAATTTTTATAGTTATAGAATCAATTGAAAAAAATAACGATTTTATTAATTTTTATAGTTATAGAATCAATTGAAAAAAATTTATTTAATTAGAAATAGATACCAAGACCTTCATCCTGAAAATAACAATATTGGAGACAAAAATGAAATTTTAACAATTTTTTTTTTATTTTAAGAGAAGACTAAAGTGAAAATAGTGCAGAATTATATCCCAATTATATCAATATCAATATAAAATAATAGTTTAAATATTATTTTATATAAAAATAACCAAAAGTGATATAAAGCTATAAAAAACCAAATCACCAGCAAAAAGTTGGGTGGTTGTATTTTCACCAAAAATGAATTTTATGGATCAAAAATGCACATATTATTAAATGCAGAAGTAAATATTAATTATTTGATTTTTGTCATTTACTTTAACCATGACAAATCTCTCCTTTCATTTAACTGGATATTTCTTCTTTGTTTTTAAGGGAAATTTTAATTTTGATGGCCGAGTAACTTTTAATGAAAGGTTGGTCATCAAAAGTTTGTATTCTGGAACATTGAAAGTGAATAAATGATGATTCCTATTTCAATAGACCGTGTCTTCAATTTAATTTTTAAAGATAAAAATCAGTTTTATAAGTATAAAAGAATTCTGCAAGATCATCATCCTTTTAGGAAATTTTTAATATAATTTAGATTTTAAGAAATGATTTTTATCAGGTAGTTTAATTACTGTAAATTATTTAGTCATATTGCTCTTATAAATGTAAACAGTTATTCACTACTCTAATCTTCAATCTTATTATTGAAAGAGATTATATGAATTAAGATGCTCAAAATCAAATATACTAAATACATCATTTTGATGATATTATTTATAAACTTAGTTATATAAACAAGCTCATATGACTGCTTTGTAAAGTGAAAAGATAACAAAGAATTAATTAAATTCTTTGTTATCTTTAACAATCCACAAAACCTTTTTATAACAGTGTTGTCTCCATAACAAACTTCACTAATGTTTTCGATCTCCACCGAGGTCTTCCTCAGGTGGTGTCTCCTCTTGACTGTTGAAACGATGACACCTGAGATGTAAATAACACGATATGTGCATTATTTACATCTCGGGCATCATCGTTCCAACGGTCAAGAGGAGACACCGTTTAGTCACCACATGAAGAAGACCTCGGTGGAGGTCGAAAACATTAGTGAAGTTTGTTACGAAGACAACACTGTTATAAAAAGGTTTTGTGGATTGTTATTACTCAATGCAGTGTTAAGATTAGAAGTCTTTTTGTTATCTTTCCCATTGCACCATCATACTGAATTTTTATTCAATTAAAAAATATGATTTTCTTAGATGATATGATCTATTGCACCAGTTATCAAATATCAGATCCTGTTTAACAACTCATTACATTTAAAAATCAAAATAATGGTACTTACTTTGCAACAGGAACATAGTTAAAGAAACTTGTTCAGGACTATTCAAATAATACCACATTTGAAAGCAGTAAGAATTTACTTCACCAGGGACTATCTGACTAACTATTTCACCTGCTGTTGATTTCTTTGCTGGATTAAAATATGCATAATAACCTAAAAAAAAAAGACAAAAATATTTAGCAATGAATTTTATAATTAGCTCTAATAATAAAGATTTTTCTTAATTATTTATACAATTTGATGTTATTTTAATTAAATAAAATCTTACCATATGAACTCTTTAGAGTATTATCAAGAGATGGTCCTTTCTTATCAAATATTGCTGCTTTAGCTTGTTTCACTTTCCAAGAATCGTCAAGTTTCCACGAACATTGTGACATAGATTCAAAGTTACACATCCAATTGCTAGGTACTGTTTAAGAAAAATACATACCTTTTGTGTTATTTAAAAACTATTAATTATATAAAGATATCATTAAGATAGTAGTTTATTAAAGTTATGTACGGTGCAGCTAGATTTTATCCGGTTGAAAATATTGATTGTATCTGTGTTACGTTAACTCGTTAACATTAGTAGCATTTCAAACGTTTTAAGAAATTACTTTAGAATTATTATATTGCTCTTGCTTCTAATTCTTGATATTTTCATAGTTATATATAACATATATAGGTTATATATTGTTATAACGCTAATATATCTATTGTGTTTATAAATCAATGAGAATAAACGCGAATGGCGTGCAAATCTTTAATGTACTTTCATTTATCATTTGAATTGGATACATTTAATTTTTAAGCAATCAGTAAGTTTTGGTTATAAATTATGTTTAAATAAATATGTTTCTTATTATTCTCAAAATATTCATCTTTTACAAAATTTAATTTTGAATCATTTTGGAAGTGGTACAGACAAATTGCTGAAAACTGAAGTGGTGTATTGTAGAAATTCATTCAATTGCACTAGAATGACTCATCCGTTACAAAATTTTCGGTTAAACTCTGAAATATTTTGTAGCTTCAGAGCTTACATACTAAATACCGTCGTCTAATGGATGATTTCTGTAAATATTCTGTTACTACAGACTTACATAAATTATTTTTTAGCATTTTTGTTTTACCTTTATATAATATTTTGTATAAAATACTTAATTAAGGAGTGAAAAGACACATGAAAGATTTTTGCTGACGTTATTAATTAACTCATTTTGATTTAATTTTTATTGCATTATTTATATTTTTTCCTTAATTTTCTGTGTATTAAGTTCTAAAACATTTTCGTCTGTAAATAAATAATATTTCATAGTAAACTCCGGTTATATAAATTGATTATTACTAGAAACTCAAGATAGGAATTTTATCTTACAACAGGATTTAATCTACAAATGAATTCAATTGAGAGATTGATTTACATTCGAACTTATTTGTCTTCCTCTTGAAATATTTTATCTAAGAATAATTCACAATAGCTACTATATTTGACTAATTTTTAGATATATTATACTGTATTAAATATAATGTATTTTGAATGTGCACAAGTAGTCTAATAATAAACTTTAATACATTATGAATGATGGCATGACAGAGAAAAGTTGATAATATAAAAGTTAGAACATTCTCAATGATCACAATCTACAGCATGGAGCAGAACAACGTTCTTGTGTGTGTAAGTTAGCTGACTAGGGGGGAATCATTTAATTTCTCGTCAGGATGAAAAAGAGTTAATAAGCTGGTATATTACGCAGCCATTGCACAGTCTGATGGAAAATAAGCTGATCTATTATATTACAAAAATTACATTTATTACTAATATAATAATGTAAGTTTAATTATCGCAATGCTATATATCCTGAACGATGCGTGATCGCTGTATATACATTATCACTTTCCTGATAATTTAATAGAAAAAACTATTTTCTATTCTCATAAAACATTGCTGGAGACCATTTAACCTAAAACGATAAAATTGTATAGATTTCTTTTGATACTTTATTAAGAATACCAAGAAAAATCAACGAATATTCCAATTTATTTGCTTATTTTACTAAACTGTCCAAACAAATTTTCACATTTGCGTCATTTCTGATTAAAGAGTCATCTACAGTCTTAGAGAAAAATCAAGAAAAGTCTTAGTTATTAATACATTACAAATCAATAAAAGATTACAATAAAGTTACTGAACGGTAGTATTTTCATCATATAAAAATATACAATATCATACAATTATAATAAAATATCTTAAATAATTACAATCAATTATTCAAAATTTATCTTTTTGAAAATTTTCACAAACATTATAAATTAATGACGATACAATTTTCTCATTAATAATTACATGTATTGGACATTCCTTGGATATAAAGCAATCACCGAAACTAAGTCCGATTTTATTTTTACGAAATTTTTAAATAAAAAATTTTTTAATTGGAATTATATGATTGTATGAAAACTGACCTTAACTTTATCTTGACAATCTTCTAGACTTTCAGGAAAGCAGTACTGAACGGCTGACGTATACGTTTTCGCGATGAAAACATCTGCCACAACTTCTCTATAATTTGTATTCTCGTGTATGGGAGCAGTCATCTTTGATCAATTACAACTAGCAAAAAGTAGCATAAATAAAAGACTTTACCAAATGTGACGACAAAAGATCGAACATGTTCTGGAACAGCACTACTATAAAGCGCGTTCAGCAAAAAAATACTCAATTGCCTGGTACTGTTGAGTCTGCTGAACTCAATTTGATAATAATATTGATAATAATAAATAATAGTAGCATCTAATGATATAAATTAGTTTGATTAAAACATTTAATTTGTGTATATTTTAGAATAATGACTTTTTATCTTTTGTTACTTAAAAATTATTAAGATATATTCGTATCAATTTAATTCTGTCAATTAGCTTGTCCCTATATACCACTTCTTCTAATAATTTTAGTATCATTTCCATCTGACTTCTGACATTTAATATCATATAAAGTGAAAACAATAGACACCGTCCCAAACCCGAGTAAAACCAAACATCTTTCTCTTTACTAATGTTATAACTGCTAAAATCGATCATTTTTAATTTAGTTTCCAGTTTAGTTAATTCTTTTTCGGAATGTAATTTCATATAGACTGTGACAGAGCATTAAGGATGTCTACCCCATGGTTTTTCAGCCTATTGTTAAAATTTCTAAAGTCTAATAAAATATCTGTAGTTATTGGTAAATGGGAGCTTAAATGATCTGCCATTTTTTTTAATGATGTTCTGCTTTCCATTAACTCTTTTTTATTATGAAAAAAAATTAAATGATTTCTCAACTAGTCAGCTAACCAACACACACAAGAACGTTGTTCTGCTCCATGCTGTAGATTGTGATCATTGAGAATGTTCTAACTTTTATATTATCAACTTTTCTTGCTCATGCCATTATTCCCAATGCATTAAAGTGTATTACTAGACTACTTGTGCACATTCAAAATACATTATATTTAATACGGTACAATATATATAAAAATTAATCAAATATAGTAGCTATTGTGAATTATTCTTGGATAAAATATTTCAAGAGGAAGACAAATAAGTTCGAATGTAAATCAATCTCTCAATTGAATTCATTTGTAGATTAAATCCTGTTGTAAGATAAAATTCCTATCTTGAGTTTCTAGTAATAATCAATTTATATAACCGGAGTTTACTATGAAATATTATTTATTTACAGACGAAAATGTTTTAGAACTTAATACACAGAAAATTAAGGAAAAAATATAAATAATGCAATAAAAATTAAATCAAAATGAGTTAATTAATAACGTCAGCAAAAATCTTTCATGTGTCTTTTCACTCCTTAATTAAGTATTTTATACAAAATATTATATAAAGGTAAAACAAAAATGCTAAAAAATAATTTATGTAAGTCTGTAGTAACAGAATATTTACAGAAATCATTCATTAGACGACGGTATTTAGTATGTAAGCTCTGAAGCTACAAAATATTTCAGAGTTTAACCGAAAACTGTGTAACAAATTAATTACTCCAACGATATTTATTGAATTTTTACAATACACTACTGCAGTTCTGGGCATGTACTCAGCAATATGTCTGTACAACTTCCAAAGTAATTTTAAATTAAAATTTGTAAAAGATGAACATTTAGAGTATAATAAGAAATATATTTATTCAATCATAATTTATAACCAAAACTTACAGATTGCTATAAAATTAAATGTATCCAATTCAAATGATAACTGAAAGTACATTAATGATTTGCACCCCAATCCCATTTATTCTTATTGATTTATAGACACAATAGATATATTATATTTATAGCAATATATATATATATATAACTATAAAAGGATCATAAATCGGAAGAAGAAGCAATACAATAATTCTGAAGTAATTTCTTAAAACGATTGAAATAATACTAATGTTAAAGAGATTATGTAACGCAGATACAGTCACTATCTTCAACCATGTAAAATCTAGTTGCACGGTACATCACTTTGTTTAACTGACCACTTGCCACCAACTATACACAAATTAGTGAGTAAAATGGCTGAAAAAGGTGTTTATTGCATGCTTTGTCTCGTACTAAATATATATCTATATATTATATATATAAAATAACGATTATTTATTATAAACAGATCTTATTGGATTGTATTGTATATTCAATTTTTCTATTATATTGTATTTATATTTATATTATATTCGAATTGACCTTTTTATAATTTGTACATATTCATATATCACATTATATTTTATTTTTTAAATTTTATACTGCTAGTAATTACGTAAAAACTATATTTATATGATTAAGTTTTTTCATTATATATTTTATCAAATGATAGTTTATAAAATAATTTTTAAAATTATTTTTATAAACTAACATAACCTAACCTACAAACAATATCTTCCCAGGCAAACACAGAATTTCCACGGGAAAGCTATCATTGCAGCTGTGAAGTTGCCTCTGTAAAATTGCTTTTTTTATTAAGAAAGATGCCATTTTAGACATTTCAAAGAAAAGTTTTGCTATTGATAATACTGCTTTCGATTCAATTGATGTGGGTGAAATTGTCTTTAATGCATTTAATTAAACCTGTCAGCAGGCGCCTTGTACCGGTTAGGCACTAACCGATTTTTAATTAGTTAGTTTAAAGTTTGAATTGTTTGAAAAATCTGAAAAAAATGCTACCTGAGTTATTTTTCTTTGCTTTTACGATGTAAAATTCAGTTTTTGCTTGAAACCTTTCATTATTTTTATTTTATAATTGTTGTCAAATCGGCACTATAGCGCTTGTGATCTCAGATTTCAATTTTCAAATTTTTGCCACTTGCTGTTACTAAAAATATTTGCAGCAACAGCGCGCACTTCTTCACTTATAATTGC